CTTTAACATACAATCGACTGATTTATGAGATCTTTTATCCGAATTACATCCGGTGACTGTGATACTGAGCGGCGTATCTTCCTGCTTTATGTCAAAAGCGGAGAGCGACGAAGAACGAACATTGTGTCAGAATCTTGCATGTGACTCGTCTCGTCGTTGTGAACCTCGGGAAGGACCCGGGCGTTTTCGCGACGCTAGTCGAGTCGTCAATCGACCAATCGATCGAGTGAACGAGCGGGTGAGCGAACGAGCGAGCGAACAAGCGCCGATTACGACAATAGAATCGGAAACAACGCGGCCCGGCGCGTAGCGTCGCGCAACGCGAAGGCCGATCGTTGCGGAGCGCGCGTTGCGGAACGCCGCTTCGTTTCGAAAGAGCGGAAGTCACTCTTTGTAAACTGGATCGCCGTTCGCCGAGATGAGGTTGCGAGATGAGGCGGCTGCCGCGAGGCCGCAGGGATGCTGCTGCCGGCGGGAACGCCGATCGACCGCCACACGCGTCATCTCGCGATCGGTTTTGGGCCAACTGATTCGCGAATAGCCGATAGAGCGATCGATCTCTCTTCTCGCGAGCGCACAGGTAATATTCGCGTGCGACCTGTAATCAGTAAGCGGGAGAAACGGCCGTCGGGTCGGGCCGCAGCAGCCTCGACGCGCGATGGAACGATATCTCGGAATACACTCGACTCTCCGACGCCCGGGAAAACGTCCGGGCCGCTACCTTTTGCTGCGATCATCCCCGACATAATGACAGTTGAGAGACGAGTAGTAAGAAAAACAACCGACCACCAGGCAGTTGAATTCATTCTATTGGGCCTACACTCTGTCCTCGTTTCGTCGAATTTGTTTTCTAATCATTCTCTCGGTTGAGAGAAAAACTTTTTTGTCCGTGAAAAAATAGTCGACGGTGGTATACAGGTATAAAAACTGATGGAAATTTTTGCGCTTTTTTTCTTGTTTTTTTTCTTGTTTTTTTTTCTTGTTTTCATCGAGATGGGACGCGTGTCTTTATAGAAAAGAAAAGAAGGATCATGGATCAACTGTTACAGCGCGGCAACAATTTTCGATTCTTCGATTTATTTTCTGTCCAACTCTTCCTCTTCCTTTCGTGGAAATACGCCATTGTAAACACGTGTCATAAGACTCAATGACAGTCTCATTTCTGTGCTTCTTCTAGGCATTTCTTCCTATAGGTGCAAGATTTCTGATCCGACAGTCGTTATGTATTACACAGTCGAAAATACATATTTCCTTCTGCCATCGTGAAACATACTATTTTTTTATCGACTATCACTTACGGGATACTGACATCTTATGCATCGCAAAATCATTATTCGACCCTCGCGTCTTGAACTTCTCTAAAGTCTGTACTTCTTCATTTCCCCCCGTCACTGCCGCTACAAAACCGCGTACGATGATTCTTCCCAATCGATTAGCTTGCTTGCCAATTCCTAACAAAAAAAGGAGAGTTCGGAAAGGATTTTTTCGCATTGTCGATTGCGAACAGCAGCGGGATTAATTTTTCCAGCGCGATCGCGGGGATATCTCTCGTGGAGAAGGCGAACGTGAAGAAAAGGAGAAGTGGACACGAGCCGCGGTGAAATGACAAGAAGATCGACCAGCGTCCTGACAACAGTCGCGCTCTCATGCGCATCGAACGTCTCTCGCAGCCATCGTCAATGATCGCCGAGGACTTTGCGAGCCGCGGGAGTCGTTACGATTCTCACGGCTCGCTCGAGTCCCGCGCCTGGCGCAACAACAATTGCGCGGTCCGCAAGGTCAGCCCTCGTGGCGGTCCCCGACGATCTTGACGATGATCGTTGCCGCTGAGATCCGCTCTTGGCGATAATCCGCCGCGGACGCGTCGCGGTCTTTCCTCTCTCTGTCTGTCTGTCTGTCTCTCTTCTACCAAGTAGACAGCCGTTTATTATAGAGCACCTTTGCGCTCACGCCGATCGGTGCGACCACGCGAATCGAAGATATCTGCGAGACTTTTATCGGCAAGAAGACCAAGTTCACACGCTCGTCGCGAAGGCAGAAGCGTGCCGAGGGTGACTCTCGCGCTGCCCGCCACAGAGGCGCTTCGTACACGACAATTTGTACAAAAAAAGGAGCGGTCGCCATCGTAGGGTATGAACGCGTAAGTAACGATCTCGCGAGGAAATTGGAAGGAAGACGACACGTACGTAGCTCGCGATAATAGCTCGTAATTGTAATCCCGCTCTGCGGAGTCGCGGGCTATTACGATTACCCAGCCGTGAATCAGCTATTTACATGCGCCAACCGCGGCAAGCAGGCAGGTAGGCAGATCGGCGTAACAAGTGCGCGTACACTTATCGTCGTCGTCCGGCATAATTGCGAAATCCTTGTTTGAGTCGAATAATTCTCACAAACCGAAGTGGACGGACGGACGAATATGACGTTCGGCGGTCGTGCTGGGGGACACTCCACACTGGGGGAATTTTAGAGTGAAAATTACTACGGAATTCTTTGTAACCGAGCAGTGGGTTAACATTCTGCGGTAATTCCACTATCCTCTCATTTTATATGTGCTGCTTATATCTTGGAAACTGAAATGTGTTGAAACACTTGCTATGTCTTCAACGAAAATGTTCCTCAGCAAGATAGACTTTACTGACAGTCCATTTTCCTGGACTACCAGAAGCAGTAAAATTGGAAAGAATTTATGTGAAAAGAAGCTACAATATTCTCTCTATGTACGGAAAAAATCGGAACAATAATATATATACAAGCGAGATCCCGAGTGATCACAATGCTGAAATCGATGAACGAGATATTCCAAGAGGAAGAGAGAAAAGAGATATCTCAGGTTTGACAGATTTGACAGTCATCAAGTCCTCGTCAAGTGAAACGGAATGTGACAAATAAATTTGGAATTCAGCGATTAGCCATAAATTACAATTCGATATGCTACTCTGATTTGAAAGGTTTATTCTCGATTGTTTGATATCCAGTGCCTGGCTCGCTGGTTTCATTAGATTAGATCTAACGACGCGTTGTATCTGTTGCGACACTTCGGCACGATAATAATATCGTAACGTCGCGATCATATCGACGTGGAATGCAGCGCTATGCGCAGGTATCCCACCTGAGCGAGTTACCTGTTGCCGGATGCGCACCTTCGATCAACGCAGGTTGCTGTCGACCAGGCGTTGCAAGAGCGACGTTGCGTGCGGCTCCTTATCGTGCGGGGGTCTCGTAGAGCGGCAGTCAAAAGCCGAGACCCGCGGGGCTATCGCTAATAACGCAGTTACGTCGAATAATTCGACTGCAATTGAGAAATGCCGGGCAGTATCGCGCGGTTTTACTTGCGAGTCGTCGAGCGCCACCGAGCAAGCCGCCGAGAGCGACGGCGACACGCCAGTTTTTCGTGAACGCGTCAGAAAAATGTCAGCTACCCGTGGCGACACCGCAATCACGTAAGAAGAGATATCGCGGTCGATCTCGCGGCGCATAATAACGCGGAGTGGACTACTGAACGGTCATGGAATCGATTCAGGCGAAGTCAATTCGCCGAGCGCGCGGCTTACATCCGTGTTTGCGATTATTGCATGGTGTCGCGACGACGACACCGAGGGTGGGAGGGGGAGAAGGAAGAGAAGCAGGAAAAAGTACAAACGCGGAATTAAAGGCGCGAGCAAACAGGCGGGCAGGCAGGCAGGCAGGCAGGCAGGCAAGCAGGCAGGCAGGCAGGCAGGCAGGTAGATAGGTAGGTAGATAGGTTGGTAGGTAGGTAGGTATGCCGCGGCAGAAGCGGCGGCATCCGCGAATGATAAGTGTCAACGGCAGCGGGGTGTAGGTCAGGAGAGAGAGACTCCGTTGGTCAAACAAAGTCGATGTCTCTTCCATTAGTTGAGATTTACTTTCCCATTTAGCGACAGTCCGTCACGTATGAAAGTCGACGCTGGTGGGCACGGTTGTGCCCTCGGGCCGCAGCAAACATCTGGGTCACCGCTATTGTCCCATATTCGTGAACCCCTGACATTTCGGTGGAGTAGAAAAAGAAAAACGGTAGGGAAGCGCGCGTCGGCAGCGCGCGAAAACGCCGACGAACGGAGATGAAAAGGGCAAACGAGCGAAATGGCGAAGAAGAAGGGAGAGTCGATGATAAGCGAGAGAGCAGTTTTAAAAGCAGTTTTAAAGAGCGAAACAAAGAGAAAGAGAAAAAGAGAGACGTTGCAGTAGGAATCACGACTGTTCGTTGGCGACCGCGGCATCGCGTCGCTCCGCTGGCCTACGCAAATGCGCGTTGTGTAAGGTATGGCGAGGAATAAAAGCGACGAGGTGTGAAAACGAGACCGCGGAGCCACGGTCCGTTTTCTGGACGATCGGCCAAAGAAGGCGAAAGGAGTCGACGGCGGCGGCGACGGCGGTGGTGTTGAACGAGCGCGGGTGAGAGAGACAGAGAGAGAGAGAGAGAGAGAGAGAGAGAGAGAGAGAGAGAGAGAGAAAGGGAGGGAGGGAGGAAGACGGAGCGAGAGAAGAAAAAAAAAAGCAAGCGCAAGAGTTTTCCGCTCGTTGAACGTAACACGCACCGCTTTGCTACGATCCAGCGATTCGCGCGCGAGCGCGACCCGTGCCGCGCGCAAAGCGGCGCATTATGCAACGCGCTTCTTCTCTTACTCAATCGGCCGATCGGCGTAGGCGCGCGCGCGATAAAGATTGCATCGCCGACTTGTCAAAGAAACGCCGATCTACTTTTCACTTCCGTCGTGTAGGAAGAGGTCGTCGGAGCAACGTCGTTGGCATCGCGATTGTTTGGGCGATTGCGTCCCCAAGCTTTTCATTATTCTGAGATCCAACCGCGGGATCCGGGGTGTCTGTGCTATCTCTCGGCGATGATCGCTCGGAAATCATGCATTGGGCGGAATAATACGTTCAGTACACGGCCGCCGCGGTGAGCCCGCCTGTCACGAATGGAAATGACAATCGAGGGACACGACTTGGCGGCGCGCGATGTAACATGTGCGACGAACGACAGTCGATACTCGAATAAAATCTCAGAGCCCGTGCTGACGTACCGATCACTTCGACACCGCCCATCGGTGGCATCATTGGTGTCGTTACCTGCCAATTTCTTCAAATAGTGTGTACGCGTAACGGAGAAAATATTCTGGTGAAAATTGCAACGAAATCGTTGCAATCTTGAATCATGCAGCATTATGACCGGAATTGCTATGTATTTGTTGAAAAACATTTTACTTTCTACTACAAAATTATTGTAATTGAATATTTCCTATATCGTGCGGGGAAAGAAAAATGTTTGCTTAGGTCAACTAAATTTCTGGTAAAATACGAACGAGACATTCCGAAAACGAAATCGTTGCAATCTTGAATCATGCAGCATTATGACCGGAATTGCTATGTATTTGTTGAAAAACATTTTACTTTCTACTACAAAATTATTGTAATTGAATATTTCCTATATCGTGCGGGGAAAGAAAAATGTTTGCTTAGGTCAACTAAATTTCTGGTAAAATACGAACGCAGACATTCCGTTCCCGTTGCCGTTACCGGGATTCTGCTCAAGTTAACCGGAAATCTTGTTAACCCGAACAAAATTTCGACAACTTCAGAAAATATCGTAAAAAGAAGTATAACTTTAACGCAATGTTTACTATAATACTCTCTCCGAGTATGGAACGCAGATCCAATGAGTCCAATTCGACCGATTAGTCATGTGTGTGGTGCCGAGTAAAAGTCTGCGTGTAAATATCATCTTGGGCCACCGTGTAAATCGCCGACGCGAAGCTCATCAAGTATCACGGAGACTGACCCACTGCTTCTCCCGGCAGAGACGTTGAATGTATAGCGTTTCGAGGAACAAGACGACGCGCACGACGGCGAGAGAGCACTCTAGGAAGGTCGCGAGTACAATTCGCGTCAACAACGAGCGAGCTCCTTCCTGTCGAATCGAGTGATACGCTCACGACACAATTACTATCCGTAGACGCGTACACACTGAGCGCGACAACGTCGAGGAAATCATTGAGATCTCTCTCCTTCTCTCTCTCGTGTGCAGAGTAGAGGAAAGATCGAGTTGGCGCGCGCAGCAAGACGCAGCGAACCTGGTATAAACGTGGCGCGTAAAGTAATTGATTTTTCTGTCAACCGAGTCTTGACTGACGAGCGCGACTGACAATCGACCGTAATGACAGCTGTCGTCTTTCTGTTGCAGATGAATCAACAGTGCAAGGTGTGCGGTGAGCCAGCGGCCGGTTTCCACTTTGGCGCGTTTACCTGTGAGGGTTGTAAGGTGAGTAGAGTCTCGTACTCTAGATTTCCCACAATATATTTCTATCTCTAGATTTCCAAGCGACATGAAAAAAGTGCCGTTAACGCGATCGAGTTCCCTTGAAACTTCAGCTACCTTTATCTATTCGCTTTGCGCGCGTGAGCAAAACTAGTCCGTCGCGATTCAGGTCCAGCCAATCGTTCGGCTGTGTTCCATCATCTATTACCGTGAGACCAAAGTCCCGTGTGACTCTTTGTAGCTCGCGTTGCACAAGTGTCACCGCGCAGGAAGACTGGCGGGCCGGCGGCCGTGAAGGAAACCGATCTTGCGGTCAAAAAAGCGCGCACGGCACGTCGCGTCGGCGATCGAGAGGAAAGAACCTCGTTCCTGATCCGCCGCTCTAATAGCGAAGTTTTCCCCGGCTCGTGTTCGCGCTTTTTCTCGGCGTACGCGCGACGCTCTTTCCCGCGGTTTCGCAAAAGCCCGCCGAGCGATCGCTTTCACGAGGCTCGCTCCGTGGCCGAGGTTAAACGTTTGGCCAGGCATGCGTGTCAACCTGGGCCCGAGGGGGGTCGCTCCGAAAGCAGCGAGCTCGCGCACATGCGATTCGATCCGATTGAAAAAAAAAAAACAAAAAGAAGAAGAGCGAGCGAACCGATCTTCGCATCGGCGTCGACGAGCGACCGCTCGCACGAAGCGTGAAGCGAGCGAGAAAAACGGGAACAACAGCGACGTGGCGGAGGGAAACTGGGGGAGAGGGAGCGCGGAGGATCGCAGAGAGAGGTGGGAGACCTGACATGCTACGATGGGCCTGAAAACGAAAATAACGAAACGAAACAATGTCGTGCTGACGTAACCGTGAACTAGGGCGGAAACAATTGTGGCGGACAAGTGCGAAGCGCCGGAAACGACGTCTCGAGGCGGCCCGGCGATCGGAACGAGAGGAGAGGGGCTCTCTCGCGTGCGCCCCGGGCCCTTCTCCCTTTTCCTGTTGAATAACGCGCTCAGCGATTGTAATGAGCGAACTCCTTTGCGCGTGGCGGTACGAACGCGGCGCGCTATAGCGAGCGGATTTTCTTCCCTTTAATTTGTCTACTTATGGCCGGTGTTCCTACACGAAGGCAATATTATAGTTTCTTTTCATGTGAATCCTCTTCAATTATATTATGCAGCAAGGTCCATCTCGCTTTAAATTAAATTTAATTAATTAATTTAAAATTTCGCTCTAGAAACACAGCAAATATTTTAATGGCGCATTTCAATTCCTAAAATATATAAGTAGCACATAGCAAAAAATGAAAAGATAATGAATTACTGCAGAACGTTGGTCTATTCCTCGCTTACAAAATCCTGCAGTGATTTCCACTATAAAATTCTCTTCGTGTGTAGTCGTATCTTATATTTCAAATCGTCTCGAGTTCATCTCCAGATACTGTACGGATCTAATGGCTACAGAATATCTGAAGATGATGCTTAAAAGAAGATCCTACATATAAGATCGGACTGTATCTGTTCTCAAATTTATCTGTCTCGGTCAAAATTAATTAGGAAGATTCCGATCTCTTTAAGCTATCTTCTCCGCGAACGTGTGTACTTAAGTGAGAGTCTTAGTCAAAATTAGAAAAAAAACCTTGCTAGCTTAAAGCCGAAGTCACGAAAACGAACGCAGCGTGGCTTCCAAGTAGGGCTGTTTGCATAACAGCGTTCAGCGTGCGCGCGACGAACGGGGGACCCGGGGAGAAGAGGGTAACGTAATAACGGTAGCATTTTCTCAATTGTGTCATCGCTTCTGAAGCGTCGCGCGCGTCCCTCGACCCCTCGCGGGCAAATCTTGGCGTAAGCGACGAGGAGAAGAAGAAGGTGGAGGAAAAGAAGGAGGAGGAGGAGGAAGAGGAGAAGGAGGAGGAAGAGGAGGAGGAGGAGGATGAGGACGACGACGACGACGACGAGGACGATGACTGTCGACGGCGACGGCGACGTCGACAGCGAAAACAAGTGGAACGCGGTGCCAGCCCATAGGTCTCGGCAACGCGCGCATCGGGACCACCAGGCCGCAGGAAGAGCTCGTTTCCAGGACAAACGAACCAGAAACAATTAATAATATAGCGTGCGCACGGGCAGAAAAAGCGAAAGTGGACAACGCGGCCGCGCGCGTCGTCCCTCTAAACGCCCGGCCGATGTGACGGCCCGTGCAGTTGGCCGAGCGACATATAAATCGCGGCGATTGGGAAATTCTGGCTGCCAATCCAAGCGAGGCGAGGCGAGCCGAGCCGAAACTCGCCGTTTCGTGCAACGACTCGCGCCGTGGAAAAAAGAGAAGAGATTTATCATCGCGACGGCGATAAATCACGATGATAAATCCGTTTGGATCCACTTAACGTCCCATTTGGCCGTCGGAATTCACTTCGCAACCAGAGAGAAAGAGAGAGAGAGAGAGAGAGACAAATGTGTCAATGAGTTATCTCGATTGAAAAAGGAAAGAGGCAAGGAATGACATGAAATAGTGATGTTTCCACGCGTTTGTTCAACGCGGCAAAGGTGAGAAGGCAAGAAAAATGCGGACGAACGCACGATCGCACGGGGGAGCCGTTGCTCCGCGTCCCCCGAGCACGAAAGCAACGAGAGCGCAGTGTCGGAATCACGTGGAATTGCACCATTTGGGCAATTAGCACGAGAACAGCGAGCCGCACGCGCCTTCAACCGCGCGAACCCCGCCATACCTCGCGCTCGCGCGCCATGAATGAGACAACGAGAGCGTACGGTTGCAGGCTAACGACTCGGCGTTGCGCTCGTTACAAGTGTTACAATGCCGTTGCAGTGTCGCGTCGCCGGTTTCCAAGCCGCCCACCGACCCACCGTCTTGGTGCCCGCGCGAAATTAATCTGCGCGGATTAACGACTCGCGCCGAGTCGACAATGGATCCGTTAATCAATGGATAGATCAATCGCGCTCAGCGGAAACGTCGCGAACAATGTGCAATAATATCCAAACAGAGCTGTCAACGTGTTCAAACGTGATAAAACTACGCGACAAAGCGATCACCGAGTCTCCATAGAGTCGGATTGCCGTAAAGAAACTCGTTCACACGTTTCTCCCCCGCCCCTCCGTCGCGGATCCGTACTCTTGAACAACCTCGATATTAATGTTTAATTCGCGCGAACGACGCGTCTCGCATATCACGCATTGGTGCTAATTGACCCGCACGTTTCATGTTGCAGTCCTTTTTTGGGAGATCCTACAACAACCTGAACAGCATCGCCGAGTGCAAGAACGGTGGCGAGTGTGTCATCAACAAGAAGAACCGCACCACGTGCAAGGCCTGTCGTCTGCGAAAATGTCTCTTCGTCGGGATGTCCAAGTCGGGCTCGCGATACGGCCGCAGGTCCAATTGGTTCAAGATACACTGCCTGCTGCAGGAGCAACAACAGCAGCACCAGCAACAGCTGCAGCAGCACCAGCAGCAGCAACAGCAGCAGCATCACTACCAAGCGGGTATCTCTGGTCAGCAGTTGCAACTGCCGCAACAACAGCAGCAACAACGCAAGCCGACGAGTCCGCCGATCGCAGTCCACGGCGGCCAGCGCAAAGATGAGGTTCATCTACTCAGCATGGACGACTACAAGAACTCGAGCTCGCCCAGCATTAGCTCGCCTGAGTCCCTCAACAGCGACAACTCGGTCGACGTGTCCGAGAGGCGAGCTGCCTACGCCGGCCACCCGGGCTTCCGGCCGCTGCATCCGCATATGCAGCACTCGATGGCCGACCTGTCCGTCCTGAGCAAAGAGATGATGAACTTGCCGCTGAGCTTCCATCTCGGTGGCATGTCTCTGTTGCCGCCCACTTTCTTACCGCCACCTGGTCTCACCATGTTCCCGCCTTATCATCTTTACGCGACGTCACCCGCCGCACCCCATCCCCTGGTGGCGCATCAGGCGTCCAACATACTGCGGCATTCACCGGCGATCAACGATGAGCACAGCGAGCACCGTGGCTCAGCGAGCTCCGCGGTGGCGTCCGCGACGATGACGTCCGCGGCGACGACGACGACGACGACGATGACGGCGGCGGCTGTAACGGGCGTCGCGACGGCCGCTGTCGACGACAAGGAGGATTGCGAGAGCAACGTGAACAACAACAACGACCAGTCGGCGCACAATCACAACGTGCGCGCGGTCAGGGACAACGCGTCGCCCGCCACGGACCACGAGGAGCACTACACGAAGCGATTCTATCTGGACAGGGTGCTCGAAAGTCAGCGAGCGTCCTCTGAGAGATCGCCCACGCCGGTGAACCCGCGGTCCTGCGACACCGTCTCTCCCGGTTGCAACTCCGAGCAGGAGGCCGATTATTCGCTGCAGCAGGAGCAGCCGATGGACTTGTCCATGAAGGGCACCTCCACCACCACCACCTGCGCGAGTGACCACTCTGAGGATCAGGAGAGCGCAAGCGACGAGGATGACTCCCCTGAGAAGAGACGGAGACTCCCGATAGACTTGACGACCAAATCCTAAGAGTTGCGCGCGGCTGGCGCGAGAACGCGGAGTTCGATGCATGTTTTTTGTTGTTGCACTGTATCTTGTTTTACCGTATCAAGTTTGTGATATTCACGGGCGCGTATCTGTAGTCGCGTCGCTGCAACTCGGATCTCACGCGAGATATATCCGAGAGAGATAACCGGACTCAGAGTGTACTCGTGGTCGCGTCCCACCGAAGAACTCGAGTCAAAAGCCAGATCTGAGATATAGTCGTTACTTGTTACTCACATGAGACAATCAGATCTGAACTTTTCAATAGAAACATAAGACATCACACTTGCAAAAATTCATATCCGCCTCTGAATTCAAATCTGAGTATCTCACCTGAGGTATACGTTTACCTGAGGTAATGACTATTGATACAGGCCTGAGTGTCTCACGCGTGAGACGAATTTCGCGCAGCGACTACAGACACGGGCCTTAGACGCGAATTAGAGAGTAGACATGTTTCTTGTATATCGTATAAATATTTAGATAATAGAGCCTTCTCTGACGAGTCGCGAGGCGTAGACACGCGCGAGTGTGCGAGTGTGCTCGCGTTTCGGCGCGACTTTCGGGGGAACTGTCGCGGGACGCTGTTTACAACTGGAATCGCGCGGATATCCAAGCCGATCTTTCCGCGGATGCGGCAGGTGTCCTCGAGTCTTCAGTGAATCTCCCGCGCGACCATCGTTCGTTGTGGCCACGCAACGACGTGAACACGACGACATCGGTCCTCTCCGATCGTGACCTACGCGTCTTGGAGCGTACATTAGAAGCTTTCCGCAGTGTCCAACATCGCCGGAGCCGGAGGACTTCTCACGCTCCTGCTGTCCTATCTCCCGCAATCGCCTCGCGCAAGCGCCCGGATGACTTTGGTAACACATGCGCGAGAATAAATAGGTATCTAAAGCCTTTAGATATGTATCTATCCTTGAACGCATCCTTTGAGCAATGCGGTAATAACATTGCTTGGGTTAGCCGGCGCGCATTATACAGGATCCAAGGTTGAAACGCGCTCCGATTGGATTCGACTGTCCCCCCTTGCTCGTGAGATTCCCGACTCTCGTTCCGAAGACAATCCGGATTGTTCGTAATAACGCGATCGACTGACGAGATGCGGAATCGCTCGGACACCTCCACCCGCGAATAGTTCCGTAACAGTTCCTCCCTTCGCTCCCCGCCTCCCTTCGAGTCGAATATGGACGTTGACTGTTTGCTGATCATTTCCGGTCATACCTTGTTACCTTTATCGTGTTTTAACCTGACGTTAATTTAAACAATACCGTACGATCTTAGGAGAGTTTTTGTAATACTTAACAGTTGACCGAGATAACTTCACGACATAACACGGAAATGATCGGGGAACTCTCGACAAATTTCCGAAAGAGGATAGTTGTCAGTCACGGCGAATTATCCGATCGAATACGCGAGGACGTTCGAAGTAATTCAAAGACGATTGAATTGGTTGGACGTATCGATCAATCTCGACTCGAATTCGATTTGCATAATCGGGCTCCTGATTCGACTCGATCGACCCGCCCGCGTCAGTAGCATTGTTAGAAATTATTTTATTTAAACGCACACCGACGAGACGACAATTATCTATACATCCCGACATGCACGTCAAATTCACGACAGAGAGACTCATCCGAGTCGATCGGATACGACTACGACGCGAAAATTAAAAATGTTGCTCGCGTGTGAATAAGATGTAGCAATATCTTGACATCAGTTGCAATGTCCGCGTGCTTCGACGCAACGAAAAGCACGAAAGTAATCAGCGAGTATAAAGCGTGACTGGATCTCACAATGCGAGTATGCGTGTTTGTGCATGTTATCGCGAGGGAGAAGAATGTGTGTCATGCGATTGCTCGCGACACGAACACGATGCTTTCAGATCTTGAGAAAAATCATAGATATCGACGGCGCCCGTGTAAAATCGTTACCAAACTTTCCAGAAAAATCGTTATATAATCTTCATTATTGATATAATCTTCATTTTTCTCATGGATACTTTTCTAAGAGAAACAAAAAAACTAATATATTACCTTATTAATATGTATATATCGATATTATCCTTTCATTAATATGTTAATATATCGAATAAATGTAAAATTATGTTAGAAATGTAAAATTATATTAGAGATCACGTAACGTGACGCGGAGTCACGTGTCTTTTGGACAGGCTCACTAAGAGAACGGCATTGCAAAATGATGAATCGTCGAGTAATGATGAAGCTGAAAATGCCCGGAGACGCCTGTAGTCACCACACTGAGACGAAATATCAGAAAATTCACTTGGCGTATAAAGTTTACTTGTGCGTCTCTTGAGACAGATCTTATGCCCCAAAAGTGTATTTTCAAGTATCTTCTTCTCAGTGCGCCTACTCTTCAACGGGCGCCGTCGATACAGTTCCGCGTATACCGCTTTGTGCTTCGCCGACAAGAATTCCTGAAATTCCCAAACAACGAAAATCCCTTTTGCACAGAAAGTTCCAGCCACCGCGGGTGGCTTGGGGCAGATTAAGAAATTGTTTAGAAGATTAAGAAGAGAGAGCGACAGCGCTCTCGCACAATCCCCGTGAGAAGAGAGCGACTTCCTCTACCTGACAAAGAGCTCCGTGTTCTCAGTCGCGAATTAATCGGCTGGTGCTAATAAGACCGAGCCGGGCGGCAATCTGCGCCGGGACACACGTGGCCGCGCCGCGTGAACGGCGGAGTTTCGCGCGCGGCAGCCCTTAATCAGCTCCTCGCGCTTACGACCAGCGCGTCGAACCCCCGTGACCTCTTCCTGCGCGCGGACGTTTGCTCCCTTCGGATGATCCGCACACACATACGCACGCTCGCTCGCTCGCACCTTTGGCCGCGAACGTTTAAGTGCGAGCACGCGCGCGGATCGCGCGGGGAGGAGAAGGAAAACCCGCGACGGCCGACGTCTCAATTCCGAGGCGAGCGAGCGAGCCGTCGATCGATGCTCGCTTGCGCAACGGCCAATCGACTTTAACGAGATTCCGCCGTTTTAATTAACGAGCGCTCGCTCGCGGTAATCACGCGAGGCGAAGCGCGCGCGTGAGACGAAGACGAACGACGAAGGACGCGAGCGTCGCCCGCCGACCATAAACACGTCGCAACGTCGAGCGTGCGTGCGTGCGTATATACTATACACGTGTTCGCACGCACGCCACGCACCGGCGCCGTGTACACGTGTACGTGTACACGACGTTGGTAGCCGCGCTTTATCTTGGCCAGGGCGCGACGGCTGCCGTTTCCGCCGGCTTTCCCCGCGTGTCTTTCCGCGATGCATCCTTGTCGGTGGAAAGGCAACGTTCACGAGAGAGAAGACGTCTCGGAAAAGCGTTCGCTGCGTTCAGACGGTAGAATGGACGATAAAATGTCCGAGGGACTTGTGTGATTTCGCGAAACAACGATGAATTCCTGATCTTTTATTTGTGAGAAATTGCTTCTGCAATCGTTAAATTCGTGTTACGTTGTCTTCCAAATTGACCTCGGCTTCTGCGAGAGACGATCGAAGGTTGGCTTGATAAAAGCATGATTTCTAATCGCCACTCAGATACTTCACTTTCTTTCTGATTTCCTTTAATCTAGGATTGAGCAGGCTCTCTTTTAATGTATGTGCAATTGTAAAGTAAATTCAAGTTAGTAAGATAAAATATTAATGTCTGAACATGTATTTTACTCTGAGCCTTGGTTTGGTCTTTAAATACGAGTATTTAACATCTTAACAGAGAGAACATTTTAGAGAGAAAGAAAGTATGTATACACATATCTCGAATATATACATATATTCTATATTAATAATTTAATTATTCGTATTTAAGGATCAAGGATAAAAATAAGGATTAGATGCGTATCCAAACATTGGCGTTTTTACTTTAGAACCCAAGTAACGCAATTACAGCGGCTCTTATTTGTTTGAATTTATGTCACGATTCGTCAAAGTTTGCTTGCTGCAAGTTCGTACGTAATCACACTTCGTATGCTGATGTATGCGAGAGCATAAGCCGATGTTACAACGTAACCCTCGACTAGAGCTTAAATCTATCACGTACCTTCCCGCACGATTCGCGAGGACCGCTGGAGAAATCACCTGTCGCGAATGAATCCGCGCGAGGATTCTCAACACGAGCATCGAGAATTTCGGGGGAAGCGTTCTTCCCGGCCCGGGTGGGTTCTCACAGGTGCCACGGGCGATACTTTGCCCGTCGTTTTGTTCACCGGCGGACACAGCTTCGCTTTTAAGACGAAGTCGCGACGCAATTTGTAGACCCGCTCGCGACCGGTAGTGCCTTTCTGGAATTTAAGAGTAGCTCGTATCGGCGAGTCCGACGATCGACGAGATTTTCATCGCGCCGCAGGTAAAGAGGAGAAGCTCGGATACGGTTGTAAGCGCGCCTCGACAAACTACCCGAATCGTGGACGCCATTATCATAAAATAAATAGACCTTATGTAAAAAGAAGCAAAATATCGACTCGCGATGGTAGCATAAGGCGATACTCACAGTCCGATCTTACATACTTAAGTAGTCGTAAATCCATCCTGAAGCGATACTGACATAACGCAACGACGTAAGTTGTGTTATTTTCTTACTTGACTGCGCAAAAGTACAAGTACTTTTACAGAGTGAAGGTACAAAGGTCAATGCATTGAAGAGCACCCCATGCTATGTCAGAACCAAAAGAATTTTGTTTCATTTACAAAATTTCTTTTTGTTTTCGATATAACATGGAGCAGCCCTCGACGCATTGACATTTGTACTTTCACTCTGCGAAAATACTTTCAATTCTATGCAACCAAATAGGAGATGCAATGCAAACTAAGTAGAAGAACAACGAAACTGTATTGTGTTTGTATCCAGCGTCGCCTTAGGATGACATATGTAACCAATGAAGCGAGCCCTTCATCAGCAGCATCTAGAGGTGAACATAAGAGGATCTTAATTATAAGATCAGACTACGAATACCGCCCCACAATTACCGTGGATCTCGAAATTATGTCTCGTTATAAACAGAGCTCTCCCGCGCAATCAGAAGCGACTCGTCGTCGTCGCCGTCTCGCGCACGTTTCCAGACAAATACTCGAAAATCTTGCGATCGAACGCAATCATAAGTTATAAGTCTCTGAGATTCGTGTACATAAAGTCTGTATATACCGAGTAGACATATAGAATCGTTTCCTCCCCGGATGTCTGTCTCATATAGCGACAGCCTCGACTACGTTCTCGTAGACGTACGTAAACTGCGAGATGAGAACTTGAACGAATAATGAGCGAGCAGTTGATTGTCGAACATACCGTTGACATCGCGTCTCTCTCACCGTTAAGCGCACACCTTCCCTGTAGATCGAACGTAGTCAATAATGGCCAGTATTGTGTATCAACGATTGTAATAAATCATCTCGAACATGTGCAATTCTAAGTTCACTGTATTCAATCGCCGCGCGCGCGCTCATCATTTCAATTGGAGCGCGTGTGCCCGCGAAGCGTGTAGAAACGCGTCTCCGCATGTTGCGGCTAGATAACGATAAGATAGGACTAGCATTGTAAATAAACGATCGGCATGTGGTTTGTGGGAACGGGACCGGGGCCAGTAAGAGTACTCACTTGTACGCTGATATTAGACAATAATAAAAGTCCATCCTTTTACGACTTTGTGAGATTGCACGCACAGTATGAGATCCGTCTGAACGGCGCTTCATCATCCATCTCCTCTCCCTCCACCATCCCCTCCGATTTACGCGGCCTCTTTTCCCGCGCGACACGAGAAGTATGCGCAGGTAACATGCGCGGATCGGCTAAATTAACGAACGTGACTAAACGATGGCGATGGCGAAGTTTAAACGCGGTAACGTCGGATGACGGACGGCCGCGTTTACTCGTAATGCCCCGATATGAATATTCAACGTGCGTATGCGAGGTGTACGCCGACAGTCTCGCGCGCATACACACGTCCGCGTCAGAGGCGGCGAGCTCACGTACACGCGCGCTTTTCGCAATGCTCTGTTTGGCGAACATACACAAGTCGTATTGCGCGTATTGCGTACAGTTCCGCGACTCGGCGCGGAACGTTTGCGCTCGCTTTCGTCGACTATCAAAGTCTGTCGAAGCTGAGGTAACGTCGCGCAAATAACGAACAGGACTGGTTGCTGTTTGATGTTTATCCGAGAGATTGTTACAGGAAACTGAGAGAGAAAGAGAGAAGGAGATAATTTTCCAACGACATAAAGATGAGAGAGAGAGAGAGAGAGAAAGATAACATGTGTGTAGAGAGTATTGTTACTTACTTACTTACAATAAAACACTAGAGTCAACGTGATCCTTCGTGCAGTCTTTTAATCGAGTCGTTGCCTCGAGATATGAATACAGAGGTATGTACCTTTCGTGATAAACCAACTGTCATCGCTTCACGGCGCTCGAAATACGAGTCTCGAGGTGAACTCGAGGGACTTTACAGGTAATCACGTCGCGGATATGTGCTGAATGTATGAGGAAAATGATGAATATTTACAGGCGCGCAATCTACCGCCGGCGATCGGCTCAGTGATTGGACTTGGGTACCGGATGGTTCGTCGTGAAGACCTCGTAGTCGACCACGGAGAAGTGATAGTCACCCATCAACACGGTGTTGGACGCGTGATCGCCCTCGTAACTGTGAGGCAGATTGCTGTAGCTCTCCTTGTTGACGTTGCAATTGCTCGATATCAGCAAGTCAGCGCCCGCGCCGAAAATCGGTCCTATACTGCAATACAGGTGACACGTTAGAGACATAGAGAAAACACGATGCTGTAAGAATCGAATCTTTTTGTGTCTGTAAGAATCGCGTGTTTACTCAGGATGGTGGCAGGTCGCGAACGACTTCTTCACGATGTCGAACTTGGTCGGCGGCACGTCCTCGTTGTTCGCCAACGTAAACAGGAAAGCCTTCTCCGAGGAGACGTAGTGCGCCTTCGCCGGTTTGCTCCACGGACTGTCGCTAAAACCGCCGCATATCTCGCCGCGCATCCCCTGAAAGCAGCGGCAGAACATACTTCTGGAATTTTGTGCTCCGTTGTCGTTACACCGAATCACACTCGATATGTCGATATCGAAAAATTCTGTACACCTACCAGCACTATCACGTACGTCGGGCTGATGTTGTCACAGTGGCGGTGGAACGACGCCGCCGAGTATCCGTGACTGGACGCCCTAAAAACGACGGATTGGCGAATCGTGATTGTACTCAATATTGCTGTCCTATTCTACACAGCGACGCGAGATATGATCGAATTTGCTTCAATTGCCTCAAACGTCCTTTTGTATAAGCGCACGAGAGCGTGATTTGGGTTCCGTGCATATTAGACATGTCCTCATCGAGTACAGTAAAATTATCTGATTAACGTTTAAGATATCGTTTTGTAGCAATTTTGACAAGTTTATAGCTGCACCAGACTTTTTCACGTCAAGACCCACCGATAGATGAGCCGCCAGCTCTGCTTGGCCACGCCGTACCACTGATTCAACAGCCGCTGAGAGCCCATCTTGTCCCTGGAGAGGATCTGCGAGCCCGGGAAGAGAAACGGGCTGACTCGCGGCTGCAGTCGCTTGTCCGTGCAGATCTCCGCGAACTTGTTCGGCAGGGCGGCGTACCTATACCTAAAGCAATCGTCGAGATCGAAGGGTACCCGCGAAACGGTGAGTGCCGTCCCGTTAGATCGTACCTTAGAAATTCTGAGTCGCCCGATCGATCAGCATTGAAAAATTCGTACCTCTCCAAGGACAACTCGATCGGCACTGCGCCGGTCGGCTCTACCTCCTCCGCGAACACCTGACTGTCGATCAGCAACAGCCGTACGTGATGTATCACACCGGACAGATGTTGGCATACCCGCACGCGCTCCTCCTCGGTCCAGTGTTGCGTGGGCTGCGTTACACCTGCCTGGGAGCGGACGATTAATCGCCGGTATTATGCTTGTACGTAACTCACCATTACACGCTGCTGGAATGCTTGAAATATAACTCTGTCGGACGGGGATGTGCGGACCAAGCAGAGACGGTTAAAAGTGCAAAGCGTCACTTCCGTGGATCTTTCTCTCGCGGGAAACAGCTCGGAGATACGGAAACATGCTCGGAGAAACGGAACAGGACTTCCGCGATGTGAGCACGAACCTGATACTTGGCCCAATTGAGAACCGCGCGCCACACGTCCTCCTCCTCCAGAGCGAGGTAATCCGAGGATATCAGTTTAACCAGGGCGTCCTTCGGCAGAGTGCAGAACGCCGTTGTTTTTACCGTGTCCAAGGCGTTCTCACCGATAAAAGCGAAGCACCGCTCGATGAAAGATGAGCACGCGACTTTCCCTGCTGGAGCACACAAATCGACTCGATAGATGCAAGAGTGAAGAGTAGCTAGAAATCTATATAAAGCCGTTCTCGTTAACATTATTGGAAATTAGTGGGTCCGATCAATCGTCTCTGAATCCTTTGAAAACACAGTTACTGAAAGATCAAGTTCAGCTGTGATTGAGCTTGACAAACGCTCACAGAGCTCGCTTGTGCAAAGCTATACTTGCAATAATGTGGACGCCAAATTATTCACACGGCCGTGGTGAATTTCCGATTAATCTCCATTGCTTAGTCAAAGTATCCTGAAAAGAGAAGAAAATAGGCCCGGAGGTAACCTAGAATGTTATGAGCGCGTAGATCGTGCATAATTTGAAGTGCAGCAACAAGCAATTGATAAGATTTCAAATTTGGAACGTGATGCGTAGCAGTGCATTTGCACTGAGAAAAATCAGTTTTCACGCCAATGTGTGTGTGCTTCTTTAAAGCAGTTCCTCCTTCTCCCATTTGATCATAAAGATCCAAGAGCGATCTTCAGTCGTTGACAAGGCATTCTCTTCTCGGTGTAAAAGAAAATAAGCAAAGGTTAAAGTATGAAATTATTTAATAATTGCTATATACATCTTATTTATGTTCTATAGCTTCACAGTTACACATTTAGAATGGATGTTCACAGGATCTATTTCATAATGCAAATCAAAATAAGCAAACAAATGATTCCCTAATCTCTGATTCCCCTAATTTCTGATTCCCTAATCAACCAATCACAATGCATATATTTGTTAATTTAGTACGGTAATATATTACAATGCATATATGGTTGTTAGATGGTCACATGTCGCGCATTCATCAGAAATAAACTAAAACTAGGACAAATATATCTCATTCATCAGTCACGCAATACATCCTCTCCAAATCCGAGAACAGCACAGAACATCCGAATTGCCTCCCTGAGTGATCCAAATTTTCTTATTGCTCCAAAAAAAAGGAGATCCGAGTGGGTTGAGGTTAGTTGAGGTTGAGGTTAACACCTCCGCGATTAATTCGCTCCGGGATTCGTGTTCTGTATCAGCGTGATGTTGTCGCCCTTCAGCATGATCCGTCCGAGCGGCTTCCTGACCTTCGTCTTCTGATAGTACTCCTCGGCGTCGTCTAGCACCAGGTTCATGTACTCGTCGAAGCCGACGATGTGACCCTCGATCCGCAGATTAATGTTTTCAAAAAGCCACACTTGAACGCGCGACCGGTTCTGTAGGTACCGGAAGATGAGGTTGATGGGTTGAACCATCACCTTTTGGACTTTCTGCGGACCCTTGTACGACATTTTCGTATCGGCACTTGGAGAATCGGTCTTGACAACAATTAGTGGCAAGCGGCGTGGCTTCGTGTAACGTTAGACGCCAACAAATATGGCGTCCATCAATGATGCCAACGTTAATCGACATCTCATAGTGGATTTCATAGGGGAAAACACGTTTTCAAGATTCACTAAGAATGGGCTGGTTTGCATGAACACTTCCTATAAAAGATACGCGACATCTCTCGCGAGAACGTACGAATAAGATGTTTCGTTCGTTTTGATATCTGTTAAATATAATATTCCTAAATCGTGAATATTTTATATGGAAAAAAAATAGAAATTCGATATCCTGATAGAGACATGAACTGAATAGTTACACAGATTGGCTGCATTGCATATCAAAGTTGCCGTAACGTGCTGCCGAGAACGTACAAATGATAAACTTCGAAGTCGATAAAAGCGTACCCTACTTTTGTGATCGTGAGTAAAACTGTTTTCACGGATTTTCTCCACGAACATCGTAAAGATGGCTGAATTAAGAGAGAAAATCAATCAAAATACCCAATTGACGATGTGTACATAATCTTTCTTCACGCGACACTTGAGTTAAAGTCGGAAATTAGCTAACTTACCCGGAACGCGATCCTGTGCCTCTAAAGCGGCAGTTAAAAGTGCACACGCGTTGCCAGGGCTTAGAGTGGCAGACACGTGCTCCTCGCAACTTCGCCAGAGCTCGTCGAGACCGAGTTCTTGCGCCAATCCCAACATCTCGAATATCGCGCTGTCTTGCAGCATTATCTGTCATCAGTCAAGGGAGAATTTATGTCTATGCAATTGGTGTTGATCATACAATTTAATCGCATATATGCATTGTAATTGATATTGAATAACAGATTGTGCATGCTCTCTGTGCAAAGCTTTGTCATTTAAGATACAATATAACGACATGTGTGTGTATGTGGGAGAGGTAAAGATACAGGAAGGCGAAGCCTTTTAATCAACGAGAAATTCGATTTCTTGCTTCTTTATTTCACACGTATGTACGAGAGGGTAGAAAAGATTCATCTTCCAAATGTCAGTCGTGAAGAAAGTGTTCTTCTCATTTACTCACGGCGACCATTCATCGTCCGAGCACTGTTGGAAATTTAATACCTACAGAAAAGCGTATTACTACTACAACGATATGAAAAGGGAGAAATGCAATCTTCAAATATTTATGGATTTATAATTTAGATTTTTTTTAAGTATTTTAAATATTTTACGTATTTTTTAAGTATCTTACAATACTCGTCACATTTATGATACAAAATACAAACAAATATTTAATATTATATCCAAAAAATAAAATAGAAAATATATAAAATATATATATATATATATATATATATATATATATATATATATATATATATATATATTTATATATAAAATAAAATATCTGTCTGTCTATATGTGTTACCTATATATTTCTAAACTTTTTAGCCGATTTGAACTAAATTTTGCACAATTACTCTCTAAGACCCTACGGAAAATATAGACTACATGAAATCTAGACATCTCACCCCCTCCCCCTGATTTGGTCTAATTTGACAACCCGGACAACGCTGGGTAATATTAACTAGTCAATTAGTTAAGTATAAAAAATAAATTAATATCACGTACATACACATAAATTAAAGAGAAGAGAGAAATCAGTTTTCTCGTGCGTTAAAGTCCATCGTTTTTTTAACACTCGAGAATGACATTCGAAGAAGATCGAGGCGAACATTGAAAGCGCGAAAGTGTGCCGTAATCACAAACCTTCTCACCGACGATTGCTGACTAGAGATATTAAATAGCACAACTGACACCCACCTTGCCGGTATAGATGTAGTGAATAAACTGGCGAAACGTATCTGGATGTGCGTGCGACATTCGCACTGGCGTCGGATTTCCGGCCGTGCCGATCCTTTTCGGCACCGTGAAGTTTTTGCACCTGCAACATGATGACATTCCGAAACAAACGCGTCTTTACGTGCTGTCGCGCGAACTATAACGATCGTCCACGAGCCGAGACTTGCTCAATTCGTTACTACCTCAACACGCTCTTTTCCTCTTTCTCTTTCTTTCTCCCTTATTCTCTCGGGGACAAACAAGTATCTTCGCGTCATCGTTGTTTACGCTATTACTTTTTCGCGGTGCTTCTCGTTACGAAAGAGCTTAATTGACTTCGTCACGAGGCAGCAGGGACACACGAAACTCAGCTACGAGCGGCTGGGGCGCGCTTTTCCCACCCTTTAGAAATTAATGACAACCTTCAGGAGCACCCTCCTTACCCTTCCGCGCTATACTATGCTATGCTAGTCGCAAGATAGCGAGAACGAGAATGCGCGGATCGAGAGGGACCCCTCGTGACCCATTAAGGACCGTTCGATCCCTGAACCCTTCGAATTGCGCGAGATATTATCTCGTTGAGCAATAAACACGAAGGTATGCATATATACTGAGACTAATCCGCGGCGCAAACTTTTCATTTTAATTGGTATAAATATACACGACGTAATTCTCGGGGCAACTTCAGGCGAAGATTTGCGTTGTTATACAAGTTGTATAATCTCGTTATGAACGTTGTAATATCTCGGTATGAATAATTTGGTACACGCGCGATGTCGGCAAATACCAGGAGTATCTATTTCGCTATTACCTCGGAGCTCGCAGTTGATTCAATTCCGAATATCGACATTGAATCTGCTCGAGACAATTAGGGAATCGCACCGAATCAATAGAGCCCAGCTGAACAAGTCCCCTCGCGATCGGGGAACCGCATGTAAGAGTAAACAGCTAAAATATGAATATGTTTACCGCAGATTAAGGCGGCCATTAGAAGAAGTTTTAATATGAGATACTTTAAATATACCTCATACAGACTTAAACAATCTTGCGACTCAAGGAAGCAAGCTCCTAGCCTGTTTTCCTCCTATCCTTGCGAGCGATGCATAATTAAGTGAAAGGTCGAACAAACGCGCGTTGTACGCCGGAAAAATACGTCCCGAGTATTCAAGCGGCACCCCATTGACCTCCTGAATATATCGGAGGGAAATTGAATTTTTCGCGACGGAGTGTTTTCCCAATCACGAGAAAGGAAGAATAAGACGACGGCACAAGAGAGCCGGTGGTCGGCGGACGAACGCAAATTGATTCGTTTTTCAATTGACTCAGACAGGCTTCGTTTTTATTCCACGTAGTCTTAGCAATGTTAATTAGTTTCGCCAGACCGGTCGTGGAAAGAGAGAATAAAAAGGGTGGTCCATGATAATTCGTACTTCCAGTAACGACGGCCGGTAAGATAAATCCGTTAACAGCCCTTGGGTATTATTTTCCTTGTATTATTTAAGTTTATTATGCGTCCGTTATTCCGCGAGCACTTGTCGTTCTTTTATTGAAGATCGCCATTTCTCTCTCCACGGAGCCCGGAGAATTTGACTTGATTCCTTGATAAATTTATTATCGATTGTTCAATTCTCATACATACACACAGACACACTTGCTACACAGCACGTGTAGATATCAGTTCGATGTGATATTCATTAGAGAGACAGGCAAGAATGAGAAGTTGTTTATCGCAGATTGCCTCATGATCAAGTCAGTGTTCGGCATTAATCGATTTAAATCTTCTTCGATTAAAATAATCGGCGGATCAATAATCAAATTCAATCAATCGTATCATCATATCATACATGTAATCGCAAATAAATTTAATCAATTGATGAAATTCACTATTAATCAGCATACAAGAAAGAACATCAAAGTTTGATCAGCAATTAATTTCATGAATCGATGAGATTATTTGTGATTTTCTGTGCGACGATTTACTAACTTCGATTCGCCGATTATTTTAGCCAAACAAAATTTCAATCCACAAATGCTCAAGTTACAATCCAAGAAACTGCAGCTTTAATCGCATGATACGACGAGTATTTTCCACTTCTCTTATTTTAATATTGATTATAACATCTATTTCACAATCCACAATCTTTTCCAGAGAAGCGTGTGCGTAGAGAGCAACGTCGCGATAGATGCCCAGTATATCAGCTGGCGAGATTCGAGAGACGAAAGAAGGATTTAAGACGCCTAAGCGGCGCGAAATGTGCTGTGCGCGATCGCATAAAGTACATCGGCGCTTTCAATGGAATCAAAAAAAATTGTGTCAAAAGGCGCGCAGTCGGGGGCGGCTTTTGAAGTCACGACGTTACATCGTGAGAGACTAGAGGAAGCACGCGGGAATACGCGAAACGCTTAGATGCGAGAAAACCGATGAGCAAAGTGGATGAAAAGCGCGAAAATACGGCCAGGCGCTACGGCCTCGGTTAAGCCAAGCGTTTTCGATGTGGCAAAAGTTTCGACCTCTCTCTCGCTCGCTTTTTCTCTCTTTTGCTTTGAGAGGTCGAAACTCGGGAGTGTCGACGTGTGCGTGCGGAATCAACGGATGGTGAAACAATGTTTATCCGAGCAAACTGAAATTTTACCGCGCGATTTTACAACGGGAAATACCTGCTGAGGGATTACCGACAGAGATTAAAAAATAACTTCATCGCTTGATGAAAAAAAAATTGCACATGCGTTAATTTTAACTGCGAAGCTTTGCGGCTCGCGCAACATTTCAATCAATAATCAACTAGGAAGGACGTAGTTTACATGTGCATGAATCTACATATAATCCAGCAAAAAGTCGTCCAAAAACCTACCACGATAGCTGTACAATCAGTTACTTTTGCAAAAATTCGCAAACTTAGTAAAATAAAGACGCTCGTCTCAAAATTCATAATATATCATCAAGAAAGTCCCGCGTCGACAAGCTACTTCATTTATCCACCCTGGCTTTCGTCTATAAAACCTGCCACTGTCGTCTGACTCCCTCACCCTCTTCAGCGCAATTTACATCCCTGCTCTATTCTCCGTCAAAACACGTCGAGGTGTTAAGATTACCCAAGACCCACATCCCCGCGGGGGGTGACGCGCGTGCCCTCAGAAAATTTTATTTCCGCCTTTTCAGCCGCCACTCGGTCGCGGATGGGCGAGTCGTCGAGTGCGCGTCTCTTTATCACGATGTTCAATAGCGGAGAGCGTCGCAAAGAGCTTGAGCGTGGTAGCACGCATTGTCCATTCGTTTCGACCGCGGACATCTGTCATGGACACGCGTAACTTAATTTTGCGAGGTTCGCGTGGGCGGACGGTCCGAAGTGAGAGAAATAGATCGAAAGAGAAGAGGAGAAATATGGAAGAAAAGAGAAAAAATAGAAAGGGATAGAAAAGAGAGAGAAAGAGACAAAGAGAGAAGAGGAGTACCAGAAGGTGGAGATGACGGCGCGATGATAAAGGTCCCGCTTTCCGCGCCTGATATTAAAGGGTTTCGTGAAAATGTCATAATTGACTTTACAATTAGCGCCGTCTTGTCTCGCGATGCGCCAACCCTCGGACAAGTTCGCCCTCTTCCTGTTCCTCGTTCTCCTCCCACTCCTCCTAAATATCAATTGAGCGTCCTCCTCGTGGACGCGGGCGAAGCAGAACGCGTCGAGAGATGAGAGCGGCGCGGGACTCGAGAAAAAGAGTACTCCTCTCGTTGTCCAACTAATTAGAACAGCCGATCGATTCGCGTTTCGCTAACTATTTTCATAAGTCGTAACAGGCCTTTAATTAAAATTCATAGCTGGCACGAACTCTTGGCGCACCCCGCGTCGTTCGCGGAAGTTCAATAAGTCACTGCTTCCTTCGTCTTTCCGTGTTTCTGATAATATTCACCGGGAATGTCGCGAAAACGAGACAGGCTTCTTTTCATCCGCGGCTCGCGTGAGGAGGAACACCTCCTTCTTTCTTCTTTTTCCCAAACAAAAATCAAATCTAACATAAATGCTGCTCGTTAACTGCTGTTAATTAAGAATTCTGTTGGAAATCATTTCAAGACTCCCGATGATACTTCTTTGCACGAACTGTCCCACAATTTCTCTTATCTATGGAAATTTCAGCCAACTTGTCGCATAAAGAATTGCCTTTCTCATTAGATTTAGCACGCCACTTTCATTTGCTTTCATTTGCAACGCGCGTTCGCAGCAGAAAAAAAGGAACATTGCTTCCGATATCGAAAGTTGCGCGTCTCGAAAATGTCGATACGACTCGCCCCCATGGCGATTAATCGCACACTCTCCGCGGCATTCAAGCTCTCCGAGGAAATCGCGTTCGCGCAGGCTCGATCGACATAATAGCGAGCGTATACTGTATCGAAAATCATTATTGACAATTAATCCAATTCCAGCGGGTATCGCGCTTGTTCATTTGTCGAAGTAACCGAACTGTACGTTGCCCCTCGCGGCACGAATCCCTCACGGTATATAAATGGAAATACGCGAATAACCGCGCGATAGCAATGACGTTATTTTACAGGGAATTTTAGGCGAGCAGCTGCACACGGAAATAAAACTCGCTATAACTGATTTCCTGTTGTCTGAGGATTTGTTACGAAAAATTACCGCGGCTGCAGACACAAGAAAGATGCATTCCTACCCGAATGGATTTTTATAATTATCACAAGAGAAACTTTACGCTTTAACTACATTTACGGAGTAAATATATTCTATTGAAATAATTATTAAATTTGCATCGTACAACAATATACATTTTTGGTTGTATCGATGCAGCAGAAAATTTAGTTGAAGTTAAAACTTAGAAGTTGCGCTAAGATTTTCATGTTACATTTAACATGCCATATCGTTTTGAGCAAATTTTGATAATTTATTTTCTATTTCTCTCGTATTTCAATTTCGTTATTTCACGTGACAAATATGAGTGCAATCTGATCAGTCATAAGAGGGGCTCGATGTTGCCGAACTTCCTGATATAATACACTTAAAGTTTACGTGCATCAGTTTATCGGGGCAATCAGTAACGCAAACTGAAGTTTTCTTCATATACATACACACGCATACACCGGAATGCGTATCTCGACGTGATTCGCTCGCGTGAGACTTCGAATTGCGTCGTTATGTACACGTCACCTGCCGAAAAAAGGAAGAAGAAGCAACCTTGTATAAATCTTCCCGAATGAGTGTTGGCGAAGTTCCCCGTCTCGCCGATATTTCAGCCGCCATTCCGCGCAACTTTGCGGAAACATCGCGGGGATCTTGTTTCGCGGGCGGAATAAAGGCGAAATTAATGTTTACATAAATAATGGCTCGTTAAGACTGACCTGGCTTGAAGTATTAGTCTGTGGGCGTAAACCGGGGTCTCGTCGCGCCCTAGCAGAAACACGATATCAGCCGAGTCTTTATCCTCGGAGAGTCGCGCCAGATCCTCCAGCAGCCTCGGTACGCCCGACATCCCGACCAACCCCGCCTCGCCAGACATCCCAGCGACACCTGCCGCCGCCCCGACGGTAACGGCCCTAGTTACCATTATTCCTGTACGGACGATCGTTAATCAAAAGTGAATTAAGTAATATCGGCTCGAGTAATTAACGAAACGGGGCACTCCTCCTCCGCACGGCGCGATAAATAAACAGCGACGTGTCGCGAATCCCACCTCTGGTTTCTTGCAGTCACACAGCAGAGACGGGAACGAGTAATTACGATCTATCGATTAGGGATTAATTCGAGCGCACAGACCGTCGAGGGAGATAGAATAAATTTGCAGCGCGAGCCCCGGCTGGAAATACACGAAAAACGTATAATCGAGCGAGCCGTCCCGCGGAGAAAGAGAGACGTGGCATTTATCGCGCGCTTCTTATCGCACGTTCCCGTCGGGGCAAATCTCCTAACGCGGAACACCGCCGGCAATTTGCGATAATCCGAAATTAATAGGACCGCCGGGCGGCAAGAAGATGACAGCCACGCGGGCGCGGATGGCGTCCGGCCGGATTTTTTGCGCCCGCCTCCCACGTCACATCGCGACGCGTCGTGGTCGTGGAAATTCGCGGGCGTTTGGGAAAAAGCGACAAAACCGATTAAGGTACAATCGGCGCTAATTGCGCTATTAATATTTGATTTGCGCCGAGCCGCGTTCGCTCGCTCGGGCCGATCGCCGCGCACGAAGCCGAAGTAGGATTTCGTGTCGCTGCGGCGACGCCAATGACAACCGGGCCTCCTAATTCCCTTTTAATTAGTACGGGTTTTGTAGTTTTCGAACGCATCGGCCGTCGATTGTAGCGCGCGAAGCGAGAGCTCGCAATCAGCGGTCGTTTACCCGCCGCGAACATCCCGCGCGCGCATATCGTGTCGCGGGCGTCCTGGGCAGCGCGATTCGATTAAAACGTCATCGCCAGGGATGCACTAATGTCCGTCTCTGATGATTCCATAAAGTGCTAATTAGCGTTTAGATCGCCTCGCAGCGGCCACGGGATGGTAGCCGCGGCGAGGCGCGCGTGAAATTGATCATTACCGGCTTTTCGCCCGGGGCCGCTCTTATGTTTAATGTATGCGCTCGTCGTCGCGCTCTCCTCCTCCTCTTCCTCCTCCTACTCCTACTCCTCCTCCTCCTCTTCCTCCTGCGGGTGCTGATAAGTTTCGACAGTAACGATGCGCCAGACATCGTGATGAGTTTACTCGAGATTAAGTCCCCGTGTTTGCTCTCGCGCGCGACGGCGATGGCCCGTGTGGAACTCGGCGATTTCGGGCGCACAAATTTCCATCCAATTCGTAAGGGGTCGCGTAGCTTGGAGTAACTATGGATGACCACTCTCGTGAGTGGAAAATGCACGTGAGTCACCCGTGGTCATACGTGTTTCCCATGCACTTTAAATAGCCGAGATATCATCTGCACGCGAACAACATTCTCCGCCGACCGGTCTCGCCCAGCGAGATTCCCAATCGCAGATCGACAGATTATCACATTAACGTCACCACACCGTCACACGGCTTCGACGATTTTATCGGCTTCGCGTCCCCGATCTCCACCCCCGATCTGAGTCCAAGCCGGAACGTCCAAGCCGGGAAATCCAAGCGACGCTGATCGATGAACCGACGGTCGGACGACACTCACCTTCGCGCAGGGGTCAGCCAGGCAGCCTCTCGATTGAGCGAGCGCGCGTAAGAACAGCGTAGTGCAGCACACGTGGACGGCGACGATGGTTGCACGCAAGGCTTGCACTCGGACCACTTGTCCCACCGTCGCTCTTCTTCTTCTTCCCGCTCCCGCCGTCGTCGCGGCGTCGTCTCAGGACACCGTGGCCGACTTCTTTTCTACGTGGGTGCCGTTGACTACTCGCGCGCATATACGGTGACGTCGCGGCGACGACGGCGGCGACCAAAACGTACACGTCAAAAGCGGAAAACCTTCGGGAAAGCTTGTCCGGTGGCCCTCGAGTGCAGAACAGGTTTTACGAGCGCTGGACCAGGCCCTCGCTCGGTTATGCTGCTCCTCCGGCATTCTTAGAGGGGCCTGGTCTCTCGTTCTCGCTCTCTTTCTCTCCCCCTCTCGCTCATTTCTCCTTATGCCCACCGCCCGGCCTCTCGTTTCATCCTGCCTCACTCGCACCACTGTTGGGACCTATGTGGCTCTTTGTTTCTCCCGTTCTCGTCGTATCTTTGTCCTGCGGGGCCTCTGCTTCTTGCGAGATCGCTGCTCCTTGGGCCGTTGTTGCCAGATCGTCTTAGATCACACGATCAAAAATCGCTCATGGTGCCGCTGCGCTCCCGCGAGCTAGGTCTCTCCTACACCTTGAATTTCGCTATGGTGGCTTCGTAGGCTGCTGACTTCCACTTAGCCGCTATCAGCCAGTCCGAGAGATCGATGACACGCGGCTAAATCGAGATAGTCGATTTAGTGAGTCGATTTCCGCGAATTTTAGTATAGGCAACGATATAAGAGGCGACGATCTCTTAAAAATTACGGTCTCGATCCACTATCGTATTGCTTAAGACTAGGAAGTTTCAATTTGCGACACGTGCCTCGACAACAAGAAGAAACGCGAAATTCCGACGGGGTCCGATCGGCGATCCGAAGAGAAACGAAGGAGAATTCCGCGCGGCGTGTGCGAGTCGGCATGCTTCGTGACACATGAAGTACAGTTATGCGGAGCTGATACTATTTCGGAAATGGGCCTGCATACTCTGCGGTTTCGCGGTGAGACGGCGGATCCTGCATTATGCGGTTCCGTTGATTCTTCGCGAGCGAAGGAACGAAGAGGGTCTCGTTCGCTCTTACCGCCGCGGGCGTTCAACTTTCCGCCGTTTCGAGACTAAACGTTGAAAAAAGGAGGCAATGAGCGTGCTCTTGCATCATTTCCTTGATCTCTTACCCATTCAGCACCAATGCGACGGACAGATGTAGATTTCGGCCGTTCAAATCGAAAGAGCAAGATCTTTACGACAGGTCCGAGAAGAAGTTTTACGTGCGCCGTTTTAAAATAGACATATGATCAAATTTCATCTGATCAAATTGACACGCGTGTCAATCGTGTCACATTATTTACTGACCACAATTATGACCACAAGAAAAAAAAATAAAATGACACGACGATTGTCAGAAGTGAATTTTCAACCGTACGAAGAAAATTTCTCATTTTTTAGAAATCTTCACGAATCTGCACGAAGATGTCTTGTAAATTCAAAAAAATCTTCATACACATGCAGTGGAGATTTACCTGTCCTTTTTATCGACCGAAAAACAATTTGGAATCCGGTTTGACCCGGTGTGGAATTCGAGCTGCGCTATCTGTTCGCTTCTTTTCCGTTCTACATGTACCGTGTCCTGCCATTCGCGCTTCTCTCGGCGAGTCGTCGCTTCCCGCACCCGCCGACGCGGCTCCGCGGGTATTGCAGCTATCGCATCGACAGGTATAGCGCGGCCCCAAACGCGGGATCGCTGCTGCAAGGTGTACCGAGGAGAACCGGTCTTACCAGGTCTCGGAGGGGACCATTCATCGATGGTGGATAAAGCAGACCTGACTTTCGCGATCCTCGATAGATGTCCGACACCGACGCGAAATTCACCGGATCGTGTGAATCCCCCTGCGATCGCTCGCTTCATTGTCAACGACAGAGAAATCAAATAAAAATAAAAAGATCCAACAGAAAAGGACTATCCGCCGACATCGGTGGTAGCTGTGGACAACGACCAAGAATTGACGCGGGTTTTTAACATTTGTAGCTGTGTTTTTTCGATCGACCGACCTGTCATACGCGCGCGCTCATTTATTACTTCATTTGCTAATGAGGCGCGGTCGCGAGGAGCGTTCAGTCGGAGTAATTCCGCGCAAACAGAGCTCGCGACGTTGCACCCGGTAACGCCCAGGCTTTTTTCCCTGCCGAAACGGAGTCACGGCTGACACGTAATTATCGCGGAGCGACCTTAATGACCCTCTGGGGCCTGGGGGCGGCCAGCGGCAGTTGTTCGCATCCCTGCGAATTCGTTCTCCTAGCCGCTAACAAAGTTACCGCATTACGGGCGCTTAAGCGCCACGGCGACGAAGATCGCGAACGAACGGAGAAGACAAGCGGAGAGCAGCCGAGGCGAGAGTAGAGAACAGTGGTAGGACGTGGAAACGAGAGAAAGAGAGAGAGAGAGAGAGAGAGAGAGAGAGAGAGAGAAAGACGAAGAGAAATTGCCTCGCGCAGGACTTTCCCAGGGCTGTCGGGCGCGAACACAGAAAGGAGGAGGCCTAACAGACGCGGAGAATCGTTTTGCATAATAGATCCCGCCGCTTGCGCGTACTCGCGCGCACGCTAGTGCAAATAGAAACGGATTCCTACAGCGCATCCGACGTAACAATCGAATCGGTAATCAAGCCCGTCCTGGATAATCGAATCAGACCGGGTGCACGTGTAATTGAAATTTCGTAGCCGGCCAGCGCAAATACGCGCGACCATTCTTCGGAATTACGCCACCAAATTTTGTTTTGTTCACCGACGACATTCACGACCAGGATGAGTTACGAGCCCGAGCGCACGCGCATGCGCTCCCGCGGCATTGCCGATAGCGTTCGATTTAAAAGCTAATACTAGCGCTACATGGGCCAGTAAATGGTAATGAAACACGACCAGACGAGGCAACATTTACCACCGGGCCAGGCCCGGAAGTTGGACGCGTTGCGACGTTTTATCGCGGCTTAATTAATTTCCGACATCGAGTGCTTCTAAGCGATTAAAGCTCGCGCTGAATTTCGTGCCGAAAGAGGCGCTCGGGCTCGCTCGGATTATCGGGTGAGAAACGAAGCTGCCGGTTTAAACGCTCCGTCCGCACTTGTTGTGCTCTTCGAGTTTCCGCCACCGGAAGCATTTGCTACTAACACGCAGCAACCACTCGTAATGAAGGTAACGCGAAGTGCTCGCGAAGCAGCCTCTGGCGGAGGATAAATATTTTCCAGCGCGCCGTCGTTGCACAGAATTTCATGTCGACTAGACTTCCTCGAGCCCGGACATGGCACAATGATTGGTCCGCATACATTGTTCGCCATTAAAGGCTCTGTGTACTTTGTAGATTTATAAGTTGAGAATTTCTTTTTGTAATTTCTTTTACAAAGAAATTATAAGACACATTTTTCAACTTTTCAATATGTTTTTATTATATCTTGGAGAAGCTACAGAATTTTTTTCAATAAGTGAAACTCGCATGTTAGTCGAGTCATAAACCGCGACAAACTGCGGGCTCACACAATTTGTTTCTCGACCCCGCTATTTTATCGAATTTTCTTTAATTCAATAATCCTAGTTCAGACGATAGTCACGCTATAAAATAAGAATTGCTTGCTTTCTTTTCTCAAAGCACTACAAGCGGTTATATCATATCAAGCGTTCTATAACTCATTGCGAATTTCAATTATGAAAAAATCATGTAACTTTCTCAAAATATAGTAAGAACCTACGGAAAAGTGTGTCTTATAATTTGTTCATAAAAAGAATTCCAAAGAAACTTCTTTAGTTTATACCTACAAGCTACCTTAAAAGGATGCTGGATACCGACATAATGCAGTTTCGCAGTTTTCACTGTTTCTCTTATATAGAACTGCAAATATGTTTACAGAGTCAAAGTACAAATGTCGACGGATGGAAAGATATTAAATATTGTATCAGAATTTTAAAAAAATTTTTTATTTACAAAACTTTTTTCTTCTTGACACAAAATTTTATCCCCTTTACATTCTATACATTGACATTTGTATTTTCATTGTGTAAAAGCACTTGCAATTTTATGCAACCAAGTAAACAAACCGAACAAATTGCAATGTGTTGGTATTCAGCATCCTCTTAATAGGAGAGAAGCTCTAACAGAAGTGAGAGAGAAACTGTAATGACTGAAATGACGGAACACGCTGCAATCTCTCTCTCTCTCTCTCTCTCTCTCTCCCTCTCACATTGCTATTCGCTTCTTCGCTGTTAATGGCGAATAAGGATTAGGCTAACCCTTACTTAAACAACTCCAACGTCAACCAAGCGATATCGTGTCTTCTCATTGACCACCCCGGTGGCAACGAGGTAGCAGACGCAATTGTAGCACCGAGCAACTTGGACGAGCCACAAGGGTATTCTCGTCGAGCGATTAATTACCATGGAACTATGGACGGACACTCAATTATCACAACCACGCGGAACGCGGGGGCTTTTAACCCCGGGAGCAAGAGAGCAAGCATGCTCTCGGCATGAGAGGGCAAGCAGCCATGAGCCGGGGGTTTTAACGGATAAGAGAGAAGGAAACACGGCGCGGAATACGACGTCCGAAGAAAACGGCGGCGGCGGCGAGTCGCCCGTCCTCTCCCTCGACCTCCTCGCTGTCGTCTCCTTCGTGCAAATTGACCCTAGCAAAGAAAGCTTCTCTCGCAAACTACTTGCCTTTCCACCACCCCCGCGCCCGCGCGAGCGCCCGCACCATCCACCCCCGGCGCGGCTTTGTCCCGGAAGTCCCGCGAATCCGTGGAGCGTGCACGACCGGGGAATAATGCGCCAATGTCTCTTGCGCTCGCTCTCTCTTTCTCTCTCTCTCTCTCTCTCTCTCTCTCTCTCTCTCTCTCTCTCTCTCTCTCTCTCTCTCTCTCTCTCTCTCTCTCTCTCTCTCTCTCTCTCTCTCTCTCTCTCTCTCTCTCTCTCTCTCTCTCTCTCTCTCTCTCTCTCTCTCTCTCTCTCTCTCTCTCTCTCTCTCTCTCTCTCTCTCTCTCTCTCTCTCTCTCTCTCTCTCTCCCTCTCTCTCTCATTCTCTGTTTCTCACTTTCCCTACTAATACCAAGCGGAGTCGTTATTACTAGGGACACCGACAACGCCAGTCGCCCCGATAACCAGAGCGCCACGAATGTCGGATAATTTTCTATAGCCCAGAATACCTTGTTTTCAGCATGTTCGCGCAGTGAACGAATGAACAAACGAACGAACGAACGAATGAAGGAACGAACGAGCGAATGAATGAGCGAATGCCGGGAGCCGCGTTAATACATCCGCGTAATGACGGGCGCGCCAACGTTGGTTAGCGTAAATCACGCTTAATCTTCCACGTCTATCTGCACACACGGCCTGGAAAAAATGTTGACACAAAAATTGAGGGCCGATAAAACGTCCGTGAAGCTTAACTGCGAAAGTACCCTCGCCAAGTCCGAGTCCATTCCGACCTGCAGCCGGCCCTCGCGACCCAGCCCCAACGTGATGCCGCAGTGACGCGCGTTTGAAAATTGCCACGGTGCCTTGACAATTACTTGAAAACTAATTTACATGTCGTACATCGTCGTTCTTTAGACGCGAAGGACCTACTCGGCTTAATGGAAACGCCGTTGCCGACGCCGACTTACTGTCTGCGATTTCCAGCGCGTTCAAAAACATCGGGTGACCGTAGTGCGGGCGAAGTTACGCAAATTGGCGCTGTCAGTGCGCATTTGTAAAACGGCCTCTCGCATCCTCTATGCATAGAGAGACGGAGAAGGCGACAGAGAGTCGGCGGCTTGCCGTATACACGCCAATACCGTGCGGATTTCGGGCGGAATTAATTTCGCGAGTCCTCCTCCATTCCCGCGCGTTCTATTCACCTTACGTCCGGTCCCGGCGCCAATCCCTCTCCCCCACGGTTATTACGACGTAAACACAAAACTCGCATCACGGAAGAGGGAGAGAGAGAAAGAGAGAGAGAGAGGTGGACGCGGGTGATCTTCCGCCGTGTACACACCTGCCTTACGAAGGCTGCGCTCGCTGGCTTTTTTTCCTAAGAACGGGACACAG